GAGAAGGAGGTCGCCAGGCGGGCGAGGAGGTCGGCCTAGGACCTCGGGCTCGGCGAGATGTCCGACGCCGGGGACGAGTGGAGCCTAAGGTGCGAGCCCTGCGCGTCGGAGATGCTCCAGCGCGCGCGTTTCGATTGGACCGGGGCGTTCACGCGCCCCGCCGCGGAGCAGCTCGCGACGGAGATCTGTGTCCGCGCCTGGCGGCGGGGCGAGCCGAGTCGCATGAGGTGCCCGGCCTTGGCGCGGGCGGGCGCGGGCGACGGCCGTGGTCCACGGCGCCGAGCACAGGGCGTAGTTGGGTGGATGAACGACCCGAAGCGGCAGGGGCCGCCGCCCCCCGCGTGGCCCCCGCGCAGGAGGGCGAGCAAGGCCCCAGTCGAGGGCCTGGCCGAATGCCGCGCTGACGCCGCGCGCGGCCTGTTTCGCGCAGACAGCGCAGACAGGGAGGGGGCAAGCCTCGGCGCGGATCATTGTGGTCCAGGACCATCTTCGGAAGGGGAAGCCGCGGCCAGTGCCCCGCGGCGGGGGGCGACGGAACGCGGTCATTTGCAGGGCCTGCTCTCCGGAGGGCGAGCCAGCCTTCGGCCGCGAGTTTAGCGGGGGCCCATCGGGCACCAACGGCATTATGCCGCAGAAGGCCGACGCCGCGAAAAAGCAGTGCGCTCGGCAAGCCCATCGTCGCGAGAGGCGATTTCAACCTGGAGCCCCAGGAGCTAGCGCAGTCGGACCTCCTGGATGCGCCCAACTTGCAGGGCGCGGATCTCCCGAGGTCCACGGCGCCGGGCCGCCGCGGAGGCTTGGCGCGCGGGCCCTGGGCCGAGGCGCGACGCAAGCCTGTGCCGCGTCGCGAGGTCAATCGAGGGCTGCGGGGCTGCGGGCGCGAGCGCGAGGACGGCGCGGTCGCGCTCGCGAGGAGGCGGGGTGCGCATCTCGGATCAGTCGGCGAGGAGTTGGCGCGCCAGCACTGGGTGCTGGAACGCGCAGCACACATCGCAGCGATGAGCATTCTGACGAGATGGAGGGCCTCTTCAGCGGACGGCGGGGCGCTTCGTCGGCCGCGAGCGAGCGGAGGTGCCTGGCGGGGGAGATCTGCGAGAGCGCGTGGCAGCAGGCAGTCCGCCGAGCCAAATGGCCCCGCGATGGCCTCCAGCTGGCCTCGGCGCTGCCTGGGAAGGGCCCGAAGCGGCCCAAGAGGGCCCCGGGACGGCCTGAGACGGCCCCGAGACGGCCCGGGCGGGCCCCGGGACGGCCGCGCGACGGCCCCAAGTGATGGGAGGAAGTAGGAGTGAGGCAGAGACCCCCACCTGCCGCTGCTACGGCGAAGCCCGAACAAAATACTCTCCTCGTCTGGCTGGCTGATTGGGCCCGCGGCTGCCCCGCGGTTGGCTCGTGGTTGTCCCGCGCTTGTCCAGATGGTTGTCTCGTGCTTGTCCCGACGGTTGCCCCGATGGTGGTCCCGATTTTGTCCTGATGGTTGTCCGGGTGATCGAGTGGTTGACGGGCATTGGGGGGCGATAGATCGGTGACGAGGCCGACATGTAAACATCTCGACATCGTGTATACATATGTGTGTATATATATATATATACATATAACGGCGCACCGGGTCCGGGGGCCCGGGGCCGGGACCTCGACCACAAATGTGGGCCCCGGGGGGCCCGGAGGCTCGTCGGACCGCCGGACGCCGTCCAAGATCGTTCGCAGGCGGCTTCGGAACGCGCTCCGATGGCTCCAGATGCCTTCCAAGACGCCTGTCATGATACCAAGAAGGTCCCAGAAACCTCCAAGACGCTCCGAGAGGCAGCCCAAGAGAGGCCCAAGAAGCAAAAATCGTGCCATTCCTATGGGAAAACGTATATATTTCGCATGTTCGCCTCTTGGGCTTTCGCCGCGTCCAAGACGGCCCAAGAGGCGCCCAAGACCGCCCCAAGACGGCCCAAGAAGCTTCCAAGAGGGCCCCAGGACAGCCCAAGAGGGCCCCAAGACGGCCCAAGAGGCGCCCAAGATGGCCCAAGAGGGCCCCAAGACGGGCCCAAGAGGGGGCCCAGAGGGGGACCACGAACCGCAAGCTCGAGCCTTCCGCCCCAAGAGGCCGCCAGGAGGCCCCAAGGAGGCCCCTCAAGAGGCCCCAGGAGACCCCCAAGAGGCCCAAAGGAGGCCCCGAGAAGCCCCAAATCGGCCCCCAAAATGCTACGAACCTGCTTCCAGGAGGCCCCCGACAGGTTCAGAGGCTCCCGAGAAGCTACGTCAAACTCCCAGCGAGCGGCCGGACGAGGCCCCCCACAAAATCACAAGAGGGTTCCAGTATTTGTATCCTTCAGCGCTCTCTGGCCTTCTTCCCCCTGCCCCCTTCCCTGCGACTTTCGTTGACTCAAGCTCGCCTCCTAGCTAGAACCTAAGCGCGCGCGAAGCGCGCGCGTGGTTCTAGTATATATATATATATATATATATATATATATATGTTGGTTTCAGTGCATGGATTTGGAGTGTGCCATGCATGTACATGTACATGTTTAATATATTAGGCATACTGTCCCGGAACAAATTCCGAGAGTACGCCGGGGGGGATAATCACAGACAGTTTGGCAGACCAATAGAATTTGAACATCCGGCCCGGAGTCTGGAATCGCACGAAGGCGTCATAATGTTGGCCTATAGCCAGGCCAGAACCCGTCCGCCCAGCCAGCCTGGGGAATGGGTTGTTTGGCGGCAGTCTGCGGGCGATGGGCGCAGCGCCTTCGCAGACGTTGGCGAGGGTCCCGTTCGGGAGCGTCAGCTTCGCCTCGGGGGTCGGATCTGGGCACGGACCCGCTGCGGATCCCATGCGGGTCCGAGGCTTGTTGGACGGATTTTATGTGGATTCGATTGGTGTTGGACGGATCCGATTGGTGGGACAGTAGCGCGTTTGGCAAGGATCTTGTCTGACCACGATGCCGATACATCATATGAGTTAAGGGCAGCGAAGGATTCCAAGGGCGATTTGCGTGGGGGCACCGGGCTGGCGCGGCAGGCGGGGAAGCCGCTTTCTAGAATTTTAGCCAGGCGTTCCTTGTAGAACTTTCCTCTGACGGTTTCTTACATAACCTCCTTCAGGCGGTTCCTTTGAGAACTTTCCTCAGGCGGCTCCTTTTAGGACTTTCCTGAACAGCCCCTCCCCCAACACGCCCTTGGGAGCTCCTGACCGTGCCTGGGCGCGCTGGCGCGCGCACGCGCACCTTCTTGAGGGTCAGACCTCGGTCATGCGCTGATTCAGCGATGCGTCCACTCCAGACAAATCGTACACACTTTACCTGATTATCTGCCGTGGCATTCTGGTGGCCTCCACGCAGAAGATCAGCGCGGCATTTTCTATTCGAGCCAGGTGCCTCGATTCGGGACACAAGTTCTCAGACTGGGAAATTCGATGAATTGGTGGCCGTGCGGGGATGCAGATGCGGAGTGCGATGCGTGGCCAGGCACCAGCGCCTACCCCCGCGCCGACGCCAGCACCGACCAGAGCGCGGGTGTTTACTCCCGCGCCGACGCCGGCACTGACCGCGGCAAGAACACTGGTGCTGCTGAGCACGGCAGTGGGAGACCCCCGCCTCACGAACACCAAGTTGATCGGGGCCTCGTTCGACGTCAAGCAGCCGGGCGCGAACGTCCAGTTGCGTTTGAATTTCGACGAGACCCTCACCCCCAATTCGAGGTCCGGGCCAGGATGAGGCCGGCGCGCCAGCGCCTGCATCGCCTTGCGGCCTGTGGGCAGCAGAAGTGATCGTTGGAGGCGAGACGGCTAACGGGGAAGGGGTCCGTGTGCGCGACTCGACAGTTGCGTCCGCCTGGGATACGACCGACCTCTTCGCCCTGCTTTCCAGGTCTGGGGGTGCCCCGGCCTCGCTGGCGTGGAAACCCTGGACCGATTTCGGCAAGAGCGTCAGCGTGCCACTGTGTGAGGGTCAGACCGCCCTTCCAGGCCTTCAGAGAGCGGTCGCCTTAAAAAGCAAAGGAATCTTCGGATTACTCGTCAGGCCAGCACCCGCTCTCGACAAGCGCCTGTCGATCGTCGTTGCGCATCTCGGCAGGCTGGGGGGGTCCACCAGGTTCGGAGGCCGTCTTGGCACCCAGGGGCCCGACCCAGTCGTTGAGGAGCTCTCCTCGGAGTTCGCCGAGCACCTGAGGGGCAGCAGCACGAAGAGGACGCCCGAGCGGGACCCAGCGGCTAGCTCGGTGCAGTCCCATTTGCCTTCCAATTCCGCACTGGAGCTCGGTTGAATGAGTGCGTCGTGGCGACCGCTTGCCGCTGCGTTATTGATGGGGCGCCTCCTCATTTCGTTTCTGGCCGCTGTCTGGGCTAGCCTTCAATGTTCGCTTCGATGCTGGACCGCTGAGACGTGCTCACGCTTTGCCTGCCCACCCATCTCCTCGTCCGTTGCAAGCGCGGCTCCACCTCCATTACTTTCACATTTGTCACTTTCGGGGGTGTTGCCCCGATGGTCGGCACATGTTTGGTGCCGCTCGGCCGCTTGCGTTTACCTGGTCGGTGGGCGGTTTGTGCGTCGGCTAGTGGCTGGCGCACAAGTGTCCCCGTTGGGTCCAACATTCGCGCTGGCTCCAGGCTGCGCAGCCAAAACAAAGAGAGGTGGCTCCTGAATGGTGGTGGCCTTTTTCGGAAAGGGGAGATCTCGCGGACACCTCGGTAATTAGGGTGTTATCTGGAGCAGTTGCTGTCCTCATGATGCGGCTCTCCTGGACGATGGCGGGGCCACCTTCAGGCTTCCTACGCCCATCGAAGACCGAGAAGGTGAGAATGCCCAAGTCACTGCATAACTTATCCGCACTCCGTCTTGATCTCTTAGGTACTTTCTTGGGAGCCACCTTAGGGCCACCTTAAGCCTTCAGGCCTTCTTGCCACCTCTATGGATACCATCTTGGGCCAGGGCGAGCCATATTGCATTAGCTTGGAGGCAGCCTGCGGCTGTCCGTCGCCATAGTGGTGCAGTGGAAATTCGATCAATTTTGAACCCCGAACGCCCACACCCACCCTCTCCCCTTTTGGACCTTGGAGACGGCAGGTTTTTTTTGCCGTTTCCAAACACGTGGCCTTTGGTTTGACTAGCAATGTTCAAGCATTCCCACCGGCGGGGCAAAAAAGAACGGTGCCAGAATCGGACTTGGAACCGGAACCGTCCCTCAACCACAAAAGTGGCAAAGGAACCGAACAAAAACCGCGGCGGCAAAGGGGCAACCAAACTTGAAATCCACGCTGGTAGACCTGGCTCTGCCGTTTCCAGTGCCCACACTTTGCCCTCCCTTCCTCCTTCCGCTTGCCTTCCCTCTCCACCCCTTGCCCTCTCCATCCCCGTTCCTTTCCCCTCACTGTGCCATTCTCCCCTCCCCGCCCTTCGGGCCACTTCCATGGATCCATGGATCTTCCTCCTCCTGCTGAGGTGAGGCCCGCGCGGTGGAGCTGGCAGAGTGTTGCGCACCTGCTTGGGGCCCTTTCGCCTGCCTGCCCTCCTGCACTCGCCTTGCTCCTGTCCAGGGCCCCTCTGCTCTCACCCAGCTTGTTCTTTTGCCCCCGTGCTTGGCCATTGAGGCGACCACGGCTTTGGAGGCTACGACAGTCACTTCCACGAGGATGGCGACCACGGCACAGCACTTGGGGGGGGCACTTGCTGCCTTCTTCCAATGCTCTCCCCTCTTCCCGCGCAACGCTCTGGGTTTGGATCCCAAGCCAAGAAGCATAGTTGTATCGTGAAAAAGTAGAGTGTGTGCAGTGGCCATGGTCGATTTCTAGAATTTGGTTGCGCTTTGATTTCACATGGCGCGTCCACGGGCATACACACATGCACACACGCACGTACACACTGCAGGTATTGTTGGCCAGTTGCCCAACTTGGTAATGCTGTGAGCCTAAGATGCGAGCATCTTCAATGCTACTGTGAAGGGGATTCGTTATGCACACCCCAGCCATGGGCAAAGCTCTTGTCGACCGACGCGCGTCGGTATGACGATTCGTAATTGCTTCTTCGTCGTAAGTAAGCAGACTATTGGTGGGTTCGACCTCTGCCAGCAGCTATGTATTTCCGTATCTCGAGGGCGATTGGGTTCGGCATATGTGCAGAATTTGTTCCAAGAGAGAATGAGCTGTTCGCTCACAGCCGGCAAGAGCAGCAGCATTCGTACAATGATCGTCCGAAGTTGGGTACGGTCAGAATTTTTTGGGTAGCGTGTTGCTCTGCGGGTTCTCTCCCACCATGTTTAGGCCCGGCACGCTATCCACTTCCGGGTCCCCAAGCGTCAATGTCCCGAGGCTTTCCCAACCTCTCGCCGCGCGGAGCGGAGCGACACACCATCCGCTCGCAGGGGATGGCGTGTCGGTGGGGCTGCCGTGGCGACACGCTCAGCAGCAGTTCCCGACCGCAGATAAGCGTGCGTCTCAGGATCACGGGGATCATGCCCACCACGACCACGCAGAGCATGAAGGTCACGACGACCACGGTGAGCTCTCCCTGCGCCCCGCTGCGCGCGTACTCATCCTCGTTCTCTGAATCCTCTTCTCCGTCGCCTCTTCCTCCCAGCCCTCCCGGCGCTGGGCCTCTACAGTTGCTGTTACCTTCCACGCATTGGCTCCTTGTGAGCCCAGGTGCGATTGCCCTCCTGTGGCCCACTCTGACGCTCTTGGTCGCCGCCCTCTTTGCCGCTCATTCCTCCTCACCCCCTTCCTCACTGAAGTCCTCTGGTGCAGAGCACGAGTAGACATCGTTATCACCGCTTTCTGAGAACTGGCAGTGGTGCTGCAGTGCCAATCGCTTCAGCCCTCTGCAGACTGCTTCAGTAGCCGTGTGGGTGGTATGAGGTGGTCGCTTTCCTCGTGGCCTCTCATGTCTTCCCTCTGTCCTTCCTCCACAGATAGGAGGACGGTCCTCGCGAGAGTATCGCCTCACAGGGGGGAGGAGGAGGAGGAGGAGGAGGAGGAGGAGGAGGAGGAGGAGGAGGGAGAGAAGAACGAGGAGGAGGAAAAGGAGGATCCGTTGCCATTTTGGCTCAAGTGGGAACAGGTCCCATCTGAGCAGGCAGCTCTCCATGCGAACGATCCTGTGCGTCAGGCGCAGGCGGACACCTCTCCATGTCGATTGGCGCCCCGCCATCGTTTCTCTCACCTAGTACGACGTCCTTCGTGGCCTGCCCCTTGGCCCCATGGCTCGGGTGGATCGCGGTGGCCGCTCTGCTTTTGTGGGCGCAGCTACTCCGTCACCGCCGCCGAAGATCCAGATGGTCGATGGCAAGCTTTCCAATGGCAAGGGCTCCTCGTTCTCGTCGGCGGCCTCCCATCCTGTTCAGCATCCTGCGCCTGATCCCCAGCCTGGCCCAGATGCTGCGGTTGTACGAGTGGAAGGTGATGATTTCGGCGCGTCTCCAGATGGCCCCTCAGACTTGGATGTGCGCAGGGCCTACGTTGACTACACCAACAATGATGTCATGGCCTACATCCTCAATGTGCTGAATGGCTTCGCTTCCCTTTCGGACACCTTCACCAAGCATTGCACGAACTTGGGGCAGCAGGTCGACATACGCATCGGTGCCATTGAGCGCCGTTTCGACGCGCAGAAAGTAATTATGGATACCATCACACAAGAGACCCGGCATCTACAAGATCTCCTCAAGCTGGTTCGCTTCGAGGAGCCCCCTGTGGTGGCTCCTTCGGCCTTCTTCCACCACAAGACGGACCCACCATCATGGTTGTCTGGGCCGCCGCCTTTGTCAGCCGTGAGGCTGAGCGCGAGGGTCTTGCTGAATGGCTGGCCGCTTCCAATTTCGAACCAGACAACTGGAAGGTCGAAGGTGAGCCCGCTGGCACCTGCTTCACGGCCAAGGTCAAAGGAGCCCCTGCATGGGCCGCCAGGATGGTCTCGCAGGCCCTCAGCAATGCCAAGCTCGCCGACGGCTCCTTCAGACGCTTCTCGGCATTCTCAGCCCAGCGCCAGAACGTGGAATTGTATGTTTCAGGGGGCAAGAACTTGGCACATACCCGCAGGGAACTTGACTTCAAAAAATCAAGCGTCTCAGAAAAGCTCCCTGGCAATATTTTCTTCGCAGACAGAAGCACTGGCAAGATCTCGTGCCAGTGGCGCGCCCGCCTCTAGGCCACCCCGGGCGAGAACGAGACCCCCCTCGTCGATTGCGAGCGGACGGCGCTTGACCAGCTGGGCCTCTCGAAGGCCACGATCGCGATGAGCATCGGGCAGTTCCTCTCCCAGGGCATCGAGTCTGAGGAGTGGTCCCTTTAGTTAGCTGTTCCGTCTCCTGAAGTTGCCGACCGCGAAGTCGGCCACCGGTTTAGGGCTTGTCTTGTGGAGCGCCCGCGCGCTGTTCCATTTCTCCCAGACACCCGAACCCGATAGCTGAAGTACCTTGCTAACCTTCTCCAGGGCTTTAACATCGCTGCCGTGAAGGAAACCCGCGGGTCCGTGGGCGATGCGACCGAATTTCTCGCACATGTCGACCTCTGGTTTTGAGTTTCGGGCCTCGTTCGATGGCCCTCTCAGCCGCCGCGGCGGCCTCATCGCGCTCTTCCCTCGGCAGACTTCCTGGGCGGAGCTGGTACTTCAGCATCTGCTGATGTTCTCGTTCCTGGGCGTGCGCGACTCGCCGAGCTCGATGTAGGCGCGATCCTGAACTCCGCGCAGCACATCTGCATACAGCAGTTCAACACACACAGTGTTGGGCTGGCTCTCTGGGGCACAAGTTGGCCCCGTGATAGACTCGATCATGCGTCGTCTCACTGTCGCTCAGAAGCTTTCTTACATATACTTCGCTGTTCTTGCGGGTGACTTCAACTTAGCTGCGGAGTTCCCTCGGCCCTCCGTTCTGCCTGACTCCCTGGAGGCCCCCCGAGACCTTGAGGAATGGCGTCGTCAGCGCCGCTCCCCGTGGCAGCCCCTTTGTCCCGGAACTTTCAAAGGTCTCCTCGGGCGAGGGCGCGCACTGTAGCGGAGCGCACCAGCGAGCATCGAAGATTGATGGAGTCTCCCTCGGCGCCCCCAGCTGGGTCCTGACGCAGATGCGTTGTTCGACGTCCGTCAGGGACTTGCCCGAGGCGCTGGAGCAGCGCGGGATCTTTGACCGCGCCCCGCTGCAGGTCGCGCTCCGCCATCGCCCCCCCCCCCTCAGCCCTCTGCTGCCCAACCCATCCCGAATGCCATCTTCCAGCGTCGCAAGTTTCGGAAGTTCCCGGAGGAATTCCGGGGGCCTCTGAATCTTTCGACGACGACACCCTCGACGCAACTACGACTATACAAGACGACGATGCGAGGAGCTGCCAGATACGCGCGCAACGCCTCCTTCATGAACGAACCGACGACGGCGACGTCTCGTCTCCTTCTCCTTCGCCCAGTGGCCAGCGTTGCGTGGCGACGAGATAGGGCACTTGCTCGCCGCCTGCTCCGACATGACCTTGCACGAGAGCACATGCGCGTCGAGCCAGACGCGCAGGTGGCGCCCCCGGTGCATCCCGCTTCTTTTGCAGACGCTCTCGACACCCTCCAATTTGAAGACGCGGAGGCTGAGCTTCGAGTGTCCATGGGGCGGTTTGCAGTCTCCTGATCTGCGGGCGCAGGCTCGAGCTCGCAAGCGCATGCGCTTGCTGGCTGATCACGGCAGACTTTGGGCGCCGTTCGACCGCTGCGTCAGACTTGCGGAGCTTCGCGCGGGCGGAAACTTACTCGCTTCTTCCCCGTCAATCTCCCAGAAGATATCCGAGCGCTGGGGCCAGGTCTTCGAAGAGAAATGCATTGCCAATGCCTGCCTCTCCCGCCTCGCGAACAACGCCCTCGCCGACGTCCCTCCTCCTCCTCGCCCACATGATGTGCGAGCAAATGTTGACAGACAAACGCATGGGCCCCGACGCCCTTCATTGCGCCGCGTGGCAGGGCTCCCCAATGGGCCCCCAGGTCCTCTACGATGCGCTCCGGCGGCAACATGGCGGGGATCAGATGCCCCTCGGCTACAGCGACACGCCCGGGATCTTTGTTCAGATCCACGCCCCCTCGGCTTAAGGAACGCCGACGACAAGATCATCGCACGCGTGGCCTTCAAGCAGTTGAGTGCGCAGTTAGCCGACGCAGTCAATGGGGCCCAGAAGGGGGCTCGTCAGCACGCGCAATTTCGGCAACAACGTAATCAAGCTAGACACATACCGTCGTTGTTACTCCATGCAGACGACGAGTGCCGCAGCCATGCCTCCCCCTGTGGGATTCGATTTCGGTCGGGCCCCGAGTCGCGCGCGACTGGATACTCAAAATCTTCGATGCCATGTCCCTGCCGCTCCCCCTGAAGACCTTCGTGCTTGTTTTTCTTCCGAGTGTCTGCTGCTATGGAGCTGTTGCGTCAGAACAAACTCTCCTGTCCTGGATCCTGCGCGGCATCATCCAAGGCTGCCGCGCTCGGGCTGCGTCTGCGCGCCGGCCGCAGATTCTTTCGCGGAACATTTCGACCAGGCGATGTTCAAGGAAGACCGCGGGGTAGCGCGCGAACGCGCAGATGATATCGGAGCGGCCCTCTGCGACTCTGCCCCCCTCGCCCACGCGCGCCGCGTCTTCGCTGTTGCCCAGAGAACTGCCGCCCTCGAGTTCAAAATTCGCAAATGCGAGATTGTCCCGCTGAGTGGCGCTGTCTCGCTCGTGCTCAAGGCAGACTGCGCGTTCGCGCTCGACGGCTTGCATTAGAATGGGCGGGGATCCAGGTCAGACCTGTCCTGAAGTACCTCGGGATGTGGTCCAGGCCTGGCGCCGTCGACCACTGCCGGCGATCGCTGGTGGCGTAGTGGTGGGCGCGCTCTACTGAGCTTGCTCTGACTGGCGCCCCGTTGCGAGTGGTAGCTTTTTTTTCCTGCTCTTCTCGTGTCTCTTCAGTCCTCTCCTTCGTTAGTCAGTTCCTCCCTCTCCCCTCCTCATCGCCCCGTCTTGAAGCTGCCATGCTCTCCGCGCTGCATCGCGTTCCTTTCTGCGCGCCCCCGCGGGGTGGATGGTTTCAGCCGGCGCAGCGGGGCGGCCCGAAGATCCCGAGTCTCGCCGCCCTGAATGCTGCCCAACAGATCCGAGCGGCGACCCTTCACCTCACTGCCCCTGAGCCCCCCATTCCCCAACTCAGTACTGCTGCCGAAATCGCTTTGTCTCTCCCAGAGCTCGTGGCCCCGAAGCTGGCCCCTAGGCACTGTATCCAGCTATCCATTGCCGAGTTTCTACAGAGTGCCGTTCGGGGCTTTCCTAGATGTCTGGGTGTCGGGCTCATCACCTCCACTCCTTCCTTTTTCGCTCCCGCGTCTCAGCTGCTGCTGCGTCTGCCATTGCCTCCGCGCCCACCCGCCTCGCTCACAATGCCCATCGGCGCCGCCCAAAAGTGCAGGGCATTCTCTATCGTAAGCTGGTATCCTCTATGTTCGGAGACACTCTGCGGCTCACGTTTGAAACGCGTTTCTGCTCACGGCTTCACATGTCGCCCATCACTCGTGCGGCCTTCCATTGGCAACGTGCGAAGGCCACGCTCCATGAGTTGTCCGCTCCCTCTGCCTTCGCGATACTGCGCGCGTGGATGGGTGCCTGGACGTCGGCCGAGAGATCTCAGCAGGAAGAACCATGCATGTTTTGCGATGCAGGTGATGACAGCCTCCAGCACGTGTGGTCATGTCCTGCGTTCCTCGAGCATCTCTCTTTCGTTATTATCGACCTCTTTCGTTTTCCTTCGCGCTTGCCTCTGCCGCCCTGTCCCGTCGCTCGCCTTGGCCCCTTCTGACCCCTTTGCCGCAGTAACTTCTCATCGCCGCTGCGGCTTCCACGTTGCACCATTTCCTCCGCTGACTGAAGCAAGGCGCGCCGCCCCACCGGGAGCGGGGAATTCAGGCCATTCCAACAGTGAGGTGGCAGCTGCGCCGCTCCTGGCGCCGTTGAGGTGAAGCGTTGAACTCATTCCGATGGCCACGTGCGAGGAGGAGGAGGGGGGGGTGCGGGGAGGAGGAGGAGGAGGACGTACCCAGGCCGCGGGAACGTAGCCGGCTCCACGACGGCTACCTATGAGGCAAAAGTCTTCCTCAAGCCAGGTGTGGGCCGATTCACCACCAATATGTCTGATAGTGCCTCCCTCTCCCTCCACGTAGACGACCTTGCTCTCCAGCAGTGGGGTGGCTGTATGGGGTGGGTGGTGGGAGCACTCAAAGAGTTGGCTGAATCGGTCCGATCGTATCTAGAGAATGAATTGCAGCTCCCGCTCGCCTACCACAAGTTTGGCATCGCTTCGTCGTCGGGTCCTCTTCTCAAGCTTGGTCGAGTTGCTCTTGGGGATCTGGCTGGAGCTCCTGATGACGGGGATGTCACGAACCTTGGCGTGGACTTCTCGGGGGGCCAACATAGACTCAGAAAGGGCGCCAGGAGGACTCGAATAAAGCGGTGGATCAAATATGGGGCTCGGAGGCGCAGGATGACTAGGCTCAAGATCAAGTCGGGGCACAAGAACAGACTGTTCCAGACTAACTTGAAGGCCACGCTCACGCACGGGGCTGATGTTCACGCCTTCAGCCCACACCAGATTAAAGAAATCAGGGCCTCGTCTGGGAAAGACTCTGGGGTTCTGTTCAAAGGGGCACAAGTGGACCTCGGATGGGCTCTTTCGTCGTACTTGGACCCGATCGACATAGCGAGTAGGAGTATAGCCAGGGTAGCTGCAGACTGGTGGATGACGACGGCCTTCCACAAAAATGAGCATGTCCACAACGATGTGCTGAAGGCCGCGCTGCTCAGTCAAGCCTCACACGCTGCTGCCCGCCGCCTCGAGGAGACGAATGGTAAAAATTGGTTCTTCCGATCCCGAGGACCAATGACCGATGCCCTTCTGTGGTGTGAGGAAGCTGGTTGGAACATGTTGAGCCCTGGGATTTTCCAGGACGCCATCGGGGCCACCCTGAATTTCACTGAGGTGAGCCCAGCTCTGGTGGCCAAAAGGTTTGCCTACCAGCTTAAAGACACATATATCCAGAAATATGTTCGAGGAGTTTGCGCGAAAACCGATTTTGACACTCAGGACCTTGAGACCCAAGGACTGTGGTGGGAACTCATCAAGCAGAAGATGAACTCCACCAAGCTAGGCCTGACGCTGGTAGAAAAGCTCAGAGTGAAGCAGTTGTTTTGTGGAACCCTCCCGACGGGCGAGGCCCTGGTGAGGTGGGGTTACAACTATAGCTCTGTATGTAGTAGATGTGGCAAGCTCGACACAGCGTGGCGCCGCGTTCGGTCCTGCTCTTGCCCTGTTGCGTCAGCTGTCCGAAGTGGGGTTTTCCCTGAGACGTTAATTCAGTAAGCCCTGGAAGATGGTCCTGGGTCTCTCCTGTTTAACCGTGCTTGGGTTGCCAGGCCAGATCTTCCAAAGGAGCCCCCTGCCCAGGACTGGGTCCAGGATTGGAAGTTTTTTGGCTCTGGGGGTGAGGACGTCCCGCCGTTCGATTTCCCACCAGGGGCTGAGCTTTTCACTGATGGATCGTGTTTGTTTCCCCAGCTCAAGCCTTGCTCCAGGGCTTGGTGTTCAGTAGTCCAAGTGAATGAAGGCGGGGACCTGGTCAGAGGTATTAGATCCCCTGTCCCAGGTATGATGGAACAGCCCAGTGGCTCAGCAGAACGCTGTGCCATCATGCTAGCTACCACCTACTCGGCTGATCAATGTCAGACGGGTGCTCTTTATGTTGATTATGCGGCCCTCCTGAAAGCTGAGAGGGCCCACCAGTGGGCCCTGTCTGGGGCCAGCCCGATGGCCCATGTCTGGCGGGAAGTGGCCCGCAGGCTCCCTGGGGACCCACCTCGGCTCTCCAAGGTCAAGGCCCATAGGGCCGAGGAGGATGTCGCTGCTGACCAGGCTTATTTTGTGAGAGGTAATCAGCTTGCTGATCACCATGCGGGGCTCGCTGATCGGGCCCATGGTTTCAGCAACAATGTTTCAGAAGAGTGCAAGACCACTCCCAAATTGTACACTACCTTAATTCACGGTATGGGTGAAGTGCTAGCGGAGTGGCCTACCTTCGGGGAGCTAGGTGAGCTGGGTCGGGTTCGGGTGGGTCCAAAGGCCACTCCCAAGCCACATACCCCTCATGAGCCCGTCTTCCATGACGGGAAGAGAAGATGTAACCTTTGCTTCAGATATCTCGGCCGCAAGGCGGTTCCCAGCCCGAATTGTAATGGCTTGAACCCGTCGCTTGCTAGTTTTTTGGACGGGCCGAGGAACCACCACAACCTCCACGTGGCTTGGGTCGAGAGCTCTGTGTTGCCTGTGGTGCATTGCATTCGGTGCGGTGCTTTCACCACGTGCAAAGCGGGCCCTAAACTGCGTGGACTGTGCGACGGGAAAGTTTCGTCTGAGAGTAGGAAACTCAAACGAAGGATCCTACCAGGAACAGACCTTACTATAACCAATTCTGTAGCTCTCCCACCCCGAGGCCGTGGACTCAGGGAGGTGAGGAGACCTACGTAATCCTTGTTTTTCCTGTGAGTGTACTGTGCTTGTACGGTACACCACCTTTTTGAGTAACTGAGTAACTGAGGAGGAGGACGGGGAGGAGGAGGAGGAGGAGGAGGAGGAGGAGGAGGAGGAGGAGGTGCGAGGATCTACGTTCGAGGTTCCAGGAGCGAGGAGGGAGGAACGAGGATCAGGATGAGGAGGAGGAGGAGGACGAGGACGAGGAGGAGGAGGACGAGGAAGAGGTGAGGAGGAGGTGGGGGAGGAGGTCGCTCCAGGCCCCAAGGCATGCGAAGGCGTTACGTCGTGACGTATTCGCCCCGTGAGGCTTCTGGCCAGGCTGCCCGTTCCTGGGGTGCGCCCATGCGCTTACACGGTCCGGCTTGAATAAGGAACACTTTTCAAAAGGGACTCGGTCGTTCCTTTGGTTTGCGTGCGTTCCGCTATTTTTGTTGGCGGCAAGCCCCCCTGGTGTTCCTTCGGAGTTCCTAGATTCACCTGGGAAAGAAGAGGCTTCGTTCC